CCCACCATGATGACCTCAGTCTGCCCCATGCCCCTTCCCTACCACTTCACTTCTTCCCCCACAACAGACTTACCAGCTGGGTGCTGTTCTCCAAGCTGCTGGGCTTCTCATTGGCAGTCTAATCAGTATCAGCTGATTATGGCTTGTTAAAAATCGTTTATCAGTATTGGTCCAAAAAATCTGTATCTCTGCACCCCTATTTGGTTGGGATGATCTAGTTGGATATGGTTCTGCTTTGAGCAGGGGGTTGAACTAAATGACCTCTTGAGGCCCCTTCCAACCCTGATTTTTCTATGATTTCTATGATTCCAGTTCAATGTCTGCTTCGGGCACAAGCTATAATGTTAACCCTATCAAAACCACTAAGGAATTGGAAACTATTTGTCTTAGCTGCCACCAATTTCTTAGTGGCTGTGGGAGGGTTAACGTTGGACCTCCACTACTGCTACTTGCTGGCAATGGGAAGGTAACAGTCATTTTGGCATCTTCATGCATCTGTTCCCCCACCTCCCTTTTATTCCAGCAAAGAAAAATCAGCTTCCACAGTTAAGACACACCCCAAATCATGGAAGGCTGTCTTTTGGAGGGAGAGAGATGCAGAGGCATATGTGGTATATGAGTAAATATATTTTGAAGGAAAGTTTAATAATGGTCTAGCTGTTGCAATTATTATTATTATTATTATTACTTACTTACTTACTTACTTACCTGCATTTACTACTGCTTCTATTTATTGGGTGGTCCTTAGGAAACGAAGCCAGATTTTTTTTGTTTGTTTTCCTCTGTACTTACTTCAGCCTTTATTTCTATAGTTTATGATGAGAAAAAGAAATCTCTCTATGGGCAACTGAAAAAATACCCAGAGAAACTAATCATCTACTCTAAAGATTTTAGAGTATTTCACTTCTGTCTGAGATGCACAAAGGAAGAGGAAGTAAAAAGGGTAAATATACCATTACACACCTGATCCTAACAGTTTCACACCTGCCTTTAGATGTTTAGAGATAACAAGATAAGTGTAAGAACAGAATGTAGAAATTAATTTTTTTAAAGAAATGGAAGGCTGGCTTTGAAGTTATGCTCACACTTTTGAAATTGTCTTGCTTCTGAATAAGACTTGCTTTTGCTATTAGAAAGATGGCAATGGAAGGTTCTCTCCCATTGCCTTGCTTAACTAGTTGCTTTTGGGGTTTTAAACCAACTGTATTGGTGCATATAATCATTAGGGCTGTGCTAAATGGTTGTTTCGTTTTAGTTTTGGGTTCAGCATTTTGGAAGGACAGTGATTCATTTTGATGTTTTGGATCACTGTCCTGTTCTGTTTCAGCCGAATCTGTTTCGCAGTTTCAGTGCTGTTTTGTTGTTTTGGCCATAGGCTATAAAGGGGAATCACTAAAATGCCTATAACTTTGTCATTTCTTGCCTGATTCAAACTAAAATTGCAGGGATGGTAGCCCCTTCTGAGGGCATGAAGCCTGTTAAGTTTCAAGGAGATGCATGCAGGGGTTTTTGTGAAACTGCACCTCAAACTGTTCAAACCAAAGCTAGTATCATTTGCTGGCAGTGGCAGCATGCTGTCATCCTGCGCATAGATTCGTGGGCCCACGTCCCACAGGAAGAGTCCAGCACAGCCCCGCAGCCTTCTGTGGGGGGTGTGGACCCCTGTATTTGCGTGCAGGATGGCAGCAGGCTGCCACTGCTGGCTGAGGCCAGCGCCAGCACTGGGTTTTTAAAGGCGCTCGGTGCATGCTGCTCTGGGCAGACTTGGATGCTGGTATTGGCCTCAGCTGGCAATGGCAGCATGCTGCCATCCATATGCTACACAGCCAGTGAGTGCAGAACTTTAAAGAAA